AAATAATAGTATACACAAACTAAAGCCGAACAGCGAATAAACATCAAGTTTCTTGTAAAATTTGTTAAACTCTTTTGTAATATGTGATGAGACATGGATTTTTACCTATAACCCAGAAAGTAAGCACCAGTTAATGGAGTGGAAGTCTCCAAGATGCCCAAAACCCAAAAAAGCACGCATGTCAAAATAAAAATTCGACATTAATGGAATTGTAATGATTGAGTGGTTTCCCAGTGGTCAGACTGTTAACTAGTACTAATACATTGAAATACTAAAAAAACTTCGTGAAAAAATGAGGAAAAAAAGGCCACAGTTGTGAAGCGATGAATGGCTGTTGCACCAGGACAATGCATCCGCTCACACCACACTGTCTGCCAAACAGTTTCTGACCAGTAAAAATATCACTGTGATGGAGCATCCTCCTTATTCACCTGATTTGGATCCATGCGACTTTTTTTTTATTTCCTAAAATTAAATTTTGCTTAAAGGGAACCCATTTCACCTCAGTTGAAGAGGTTCAGGCAGAAACGGAGAATCTCCTGAAGGAACTTTCAAAAACCTTCAAAAACCTCGTTCCAGAACTGTTACCAGCAATAGCAGCACCGAATGCAAAAGTGTGTGAATGCTGAAGGGGACTACATTGAAGGTGATAACTTTTGTGTCACACCTCGTATGTGTCCACTGGTGATAGCGGACTATTTTTGTTGCCTTTCTGCACGAATCATCATGATCTCAGCTATGTCATCTTTATCACTTTCTTCACATTTAAAAATCTCATATAAAAAGTTTTTAAAGTATTGTAACATTTTTACAATATTCTTGACTTCCGCTGTAATTCGAAATCGCACCGGGTTAATCGTTGCTTAAAAATATGAGGGGTCATCTGCGCATATCTATTAATACAGTATTCGATAGATTAATATGATTTTTAATCATTTAAAATTTAAAGTATCAAGCCGTTACACTTCCTTCTATAACTAGTATACTATTACAAAATTCCGTCACCTATTTCGTCAGTATTGTAAATATCATTCACATTAAACTCTTGAAGCAAGACAAGTTTATTAGATTACGATTCTGTTGCACTCACAGTATCGCCACTATTTTTTTCACCATGTTTTCATTTGAACTTAATATTATTTTTGCATTTCTATCGGAGCATCTAATTATCAATTAATTTAAAATTATAGTGATCCAACTTCTTAGCTAGCTCTTCAGTCTTGTTTTTAACGTTGAATCACTGTAGTATATCCCTCGTGCAATTAAAAACCATTGATTTAAGGCATCTTCAATATCAAAATCCTTATCTCGACGGTTACGTTCCGGAAATGATCCCTGTTTTCCATTGCATGCCTATTTTTCACGCACATTATTTTGTAGATTTGTCAGATATACAGCTGTAAATTTTTCCGACAGATAACGATGACTTTTATGAGTAGTCTAGTATTTAGTTTATTATAATATGGGAATCACGTCAGTTAATAATGAGTCTTTACATGGCATTTTATCGATAGGGAAAGTAACTTTGAACATTTATAATATTAAAACGAATCTTAGACTTGGCACTACAGTGTAAGTATGTAATCTAATTAACGAACGAAATGCGGGAAACTAAAGATTAACGAAACATCACGCGAACGTCAGGAAGTATTAATACCCATCATTTCAAATTTTTTTCAATCATATCTAATGCATACGCATCGTACACAAATAGGAAATTTCGAATCTTTACAAATACAAAATCACTGCGTGATTTTTTTTCTTTAAATTGTTAATATTTTTAATTCTAATTATAGAACAATGGATATTACTTATTTAAAAACATTTCTAACGCACTTTAGAAATATTTCAAGGTTTGTTTTTTTTTTTTCATTGGGGAAAGGGATTTATTTACGCACAGCAATGTGAAGACATGAAGACAGCAATGTCGACGGATACATTTGTCATACTATTTCTTCAACAATGGAAAGTGATAAGTTACGGAAAATAAAATGTTTAAAAATAAAAATATATAAAATCGTAGCACAATTAAGACATGTAATCAAAATACTTAAAATTATTTTTATTTCAACAGGTAGTGGGGATTTTAGTGGTGTAGGAAGGTCTCTGAATAACAACTAAGTCTTTAAGAATCAGGATGGTACCTATATTTTAAAAGTGATCTCTCTAACGAGGAACGGTGACAGACTAACTTTCCCTCAACCAAAGTGCGTTA